GTACCGAGGATCAAACTTGGGTACTTGTGCTTGTGAGGCAGGTGGCAGAACCACTGAGCTAAATCCCTGGCCCTTGAGATAAGATCTTGCCAGGTAGTTCAGGGTGGCTTTCAACTCACTATGTAGCCCAGGCTGGCGTTAAACTCCTAATCTTCCTGTCTCAGCCTCCCCAGTGCTGGGATTACATGTAGGCACCACCATGGCCTGTTTGTTTTGGTGCCTGCAATCAAACTCAGGACCTTGTGCTTGCTAGGCATGTGTGGCGCTGCTGAGCTACATCTCGACCCCACCCAGGCCAGTTTTGAAAAAAATACGTTTAAGCCTGTTTAGCTGAAGCGTCTGAAGAACCTTTTGGATGATGACTATCACTTTCAATAAAAAATGTGATATAAGAACTTCCTATTGTATTAAACCGTTTTAGAGAAGAGCTCCCACGCTGCTAACTGCATGCCTGTGGTAAATGTTCCCCAGCTTCCTTCTCTAAAGCCCTGCAGTTTGTTCCATCAAGCAAAGGCAGTCATGTGGCCAGAATCACAGTTTCAGATAGGGTGTTAAATCTTTCACGACGGAGGCCTGCCAACAGCCACCATGACCAGAATCCACACCTCTGCTTTCAGTCCAATGCTTTTTTCTAAATACTTTACCACAAAGGTGCGCACGTGTAGGAAAATCACATACCCATTTAGGAGGCCCTGAAATCCAACACAGATATCAGATTCGGCCATAGGACACTCATTATTTTAGTGTCTGGAGATCTGCACCTAGGAGACATTTCTGACCCTGAAGTATTTTTTTGTTTTTTGTTTTTTTGGGTACCAGGAACTGAACTCAGGACCTTGTGCTTGCAAAGCAGGTGGTGGCACCACTGAGCTAAATCCCCGGCTCCTAAAGTTGCTCTTCATGGAGCCCAAAACACTGTCTAAAATTAAATCCTTTTCTAAGGTTCCTGTTTAGATCTGGTTTTGACTTTTGACCCAGGAGGAATATGGAACAAGTTGTTTCTAAGACTCTGGGAGCCACCATGATAGCAGAAAAAAAGCAATCACTAAATTTCCCAGGCTGGACTCAAGATTTTCAGTCTCCCTACCTCAGCTTCCCATTGTGCTGTGATTACAGGTATGTAACGTCACGCCTAGCTTCCCCCGCCCCCGGTCTGTCTGTCTCTGTCTTTCTCCCCCACCCTCTCTCTTTCCTTTGAGGTGGTTCTCTCACTGTGTTACCCATCACAAGGAACTGAGTTCAATCCCTGGTACCAAACAAACAAATAAAACAAAGCGTTATTAATAAATATTTGTTAATTTGGACTTTATGGCCTTGGTTTCCAGGTAGTTACAAGAAGAGAAACTAGAATGTAGTCATTCTATATATGGGCTTAAAAAGGATTTCTGGCCTTCTCTGTGGCCTATAGCTTGTGTGTCGCCCTCTCCCCTATCCAGTCGAACCCACCACTTTCTTTTCATTGACTTGAGGTGCAACCGCTGCCAAGATTTGCATAAAAACCCCTATCGGGAAGACCAACATGCTCGAGGCTGAACCGTGGGATACTGTAGAAAACGTAAAGGCCCAGATCAGGGATGAGGAAAGAATTCCTCCTGATCAGCAGAGGCTGATCTTTGCTGGTACACAACTAGGAGATGGGCGTGCTTGGTCCATTGTAACACTCAAAGGGTGTCTGTCCACCTTTTATCGTGGGCTGGGGCTCTGCGGTGGTATGAAGAAAAGGACGAAGTCTTACATCATGCACATCCAAGGAGAAGAAGCATAAGAGAAAGAAGGTTAAGGTGACTGTCCTGAAATACTGTAAGGTGCATGAAATGGCAAACTTAGTTGCTTTCATCAGGAGTGCCCCTCAGATGAGTGTGGTGCTGGTTTTTATGGCCAGCACTTTGGAGACATTACTGTGCTAAGTGTTGTGACTTAACTGCTTCAACAAACCAGAAGACAAGTAATTATATGTGAGTTAATAAAGGACTTCAGGGGCTGGGGATTTAGCTCAGTGGATCCGCCGCCTGCCTCGCAAGTGCAAGGACCCGAGTTTGATCCCCAGTACCAAAAAAATAGACTTCAGCTAACAACAGCAACAACAAAAAGATTTCTTCTCATTCTGCTACCTTCTCCCCCACCCAACAATGAGAACAGAAACCATTTATTCTTTTTTATTTTACTTATTTATTCTGTTTTTTGGTTCTGGGGACCGAACCCAGAGCCTTTGCACTGAATTACATTTCTCACCCTTTTAAAATTTTGAAACAGAGCTTCCTAAGTTGCTTAGACCAGATGTGAGCTTGCAATCCTCCTGTCTCAGCCTTCTGAGTGCTGGGATTACAGATGCATGCCACAACACTCACCTTATTTATCCTTTTTTAAAAAGTGCCTTCTCTTTCTTGTCTCTACAACATAATGTCCTTTAAAAGATGTGCACATCTCCATCTGGATAGAGGCACAAGGCTCACCAGTGGAGTGGTTCAGACTCACCTGGGAGGAGCCCAGTCGTGCCGCGTACAGTCGAGCAGCGTACCCACGTAGGTCTTGTTTCTCCACGTCACATTCACCACCAGCATCCCTGGCAAACAAGAAAGTGGAGATGTGAACAGCATAACCCCTGCTAGCGCAGTTTTCCCCTGGGCAGGGCCCTGCCTTCTGCAGACTGGAGGGCGCCACGGCCCCTGGACAGCGGCGGCACGCTGAGACTACAGGAGCAGGCAGCACTAAGGGCTCTCAGTACAGTGCCATTCTAGCATGCTGACTCCGTAGGAGGAGACCTCGCCAGCTCCATGGACCCGAACCAACCCAGGGCATTCAGGACTGTGCTATACTGGAGTCCATTTCTTTTCTAAAGAGTAAGACATCACAGGGATAAGCATTATTTACTCTGTTGTCACTTGTTACACGGATGTGATCGGGGTTACAGCACAACTTACATTCCTTAGTTCATGCTACAAACGAGGTTTATCCACACTGACACAAAAAGCTTAATCTACTCACTTTAACTGAGCTCAAGTATAATTTGATTACAATTTGTGTGTTCACCTGCTGGAGAACATCTTAGGGTTTTTTGGGGGGTATATTTTCACTCTTAAATGATATCATAATGAATATTCCTGACATGTTCATTTTATTTTATTTTATTTTTGGGGGAGGGTACCGGGGATCGAACTTGGGCCCTTGTGCTTGCGAGGCAGGCAGTGGAACCACTGAGCCAAATCCCCAGCCCCTTGTTGTTCATTTTAAAAATGTTTGCCTTGCAAGCTCAAGGTCCTGAGTTTGATCCCTGGTGCCAGAAAACAAAACAAAACAAAACAAACAAACAAAAAGCTTTGGATAGGTAATATAGTCATACCCCAAAAGCCAGCCCCCACAAAAGCCAAACAAACCTTAAAATAAAAATGAAGTGTCCCTGTTTTTCAGCCTTCCAATTCTACTGAGAAGCATCTAAGGGAGCATGGACAGCCCACATCTGTAATCCCAGCACTCTGGGAGGCTGAGGCAGGAGGATTGCCAAGTCCCAGTCCAGCCTAGGGAATCAGCATTGTCTCAAAATAAAACGGCTGTCAATGTAGCTCAGTGTGAAGGCCCTGAGTTAAGACCACACATACACAAACTTCCAGTTTAATGTCTATTTGTATTCTTTGACTCTTTTTCTTTTGATAAATAATTAGTCTTTTTAAAAATTTGCAACTTTAAAAAAATATTTTGCTGCTGGGGATTGAATCTAATACCTTCCCACTGAGCTACATCCCCAACTTTTTATTTATTTAAAAATACTGACACAAGGTCTTGCTAAGTCACTAAACTGCCCAGGTGAGACTCTATTGTGATTGTTCCTCTCCTTGTATTGGGCCTTGAACCCAGAGCTTTTGTAATGAACTATAACCCTGGGCATTTTTAATTTTATCAACTGATTTTAGCACCCCAGGGACTGAACTCAGGGTCTTCACACTAAGCAACCTCTCCTGTCCTTTTTTATTTTTTTCATTTTGAGTCAGGGTCTCATTAGGTAGCTAAATTGCCCAGACAGGACTCAAACTTCCAATATTCCTGTTTGAGCCTCCCAGAGGGCTGGGATTACATGCATGTTTCACTTTTAAAATACATAGATACTGACTGACTGACTGATTGAGACAGGGTCTCTCTATGTAGTTCAGGCTGGTCTTCAACTCCCTATGTAGCCCAGGCTGGCCTTGAACTCAAGATGATCCTCCTGCCTCAGTCTCCAGAGTGCTGGGTTTATAGGTGTGTGTCACCTCCCTGGATCTTCTAAGATTTTAAACTGGTTAGTTTTTCATATTTACCTGACCTCAGTTAGTTTCTGGCTGTTTGATGCAAAGTTGCATGTCATTTTTAACAGACATTATTTATTTTCTATTTAAGAATCCTAAATACAGAGGTATCACATCCCCAACTTGAAATTGTATTACAAAGCCACTGTGATAACAGCATGGTACTGGCAAAGAAACACACCAGAGGATCAATAGAACAGATTAGAAAATGCAGAAACAACTCCAGACATACTAAGCTACCTCATCTTTGACAAAAGAGCCAAACATCCTGACTATAGGAAAGATAGCCTCTTCAATAAATGGTGCTGGAAAAACTGGATTTCAACTTGCCCTATCTTTCACCATGCACTCAACTAAAATCCAAGTGGATTTGGGGTATGATCTAAATATTAATACAGAAACACTAAACTTGCTGGAAGGTAAGGTAGGTAGAACTCTCAAAGACATTGGCATAAGAAAAGACTTTATGAACAAATCCTCAGTAGCATGGGAACTAGCACAAAGAATCAACTGGGATCTCATCTTTTTAAAAAGCTTCTGAACTGCAAGAGAAACCAGCAACAGAGCTAAGACAACCTACAATGTGGGAAAAAATTTTTACCAGCTGTGTCTCAGACAAAGGTCTACTATCTAGAATACATAAAGAACTGGAAAAAAAAAACCCAGACCCCCCCCCAAATATAAAGACCCAATTCAAAAATGGGCATTTCTCAGACAAAGAAGTAAAAGCAGTAAACAAACATATGAAACAATGTTCCACATCACTGGTCATTAGAGAGATGCAGATGAAAACAACACAGATTCCACCTCACTTCAGAAAGAATGGCTGCTATCAAGAAATCAACCAGTGGGCCGAGGATTTAGCTCAGTGGTTCCGCCGCCTGCCTTGCAAGCACAAGGTCCTGAGTTCAATCCCTGGTACCAAAAAAAAAAAGAAAGAAAGAAATCAACCAACCAGTAAGAAATGCTGTCTGGGTTGCAGGAAGATAGGAACCCTTCTCCATTGTTGGAGGGCGTGCAGACTGGTGCAACCACTGTGGAAATCAGTACGGAGATACCTCAAACAACTAGGATTAGAGGTTCCATTTGACCCAGCTATTCCCCTGCTGGGTATCTTCCCAAAAGAATTAAAAGAATCATACCGCAGCAATATATGCTCACCCATATTTATAGCAGCACAGTTTGTAATAGCTAAAACTTGGAAACAGCCCAACTGCCCATCAATTGGAGACTGGAAAGATGTGGTTTTTCTTTTTATTTTTTTGGTACTGGGGATCGAACTCTGGCCCTTGTGCTTGCAAGGCTGGCGGCGGAACCACTGAGCTAAATCCCCAGCCCAAGATGTGGTTTTTCTATATAAACGGAGTACTACTCAGCCATAAAGAACGAGAAACTAGAGGCATTTATAGCTAAGTGGATGCACATTGAAGACATACTCTTAAGTGAAATTAATAGGACACGTGTAAACACCATACAGTTTCTCTGGTGTGATAAATAAACTAAAAGTGTAAATAAGGATCAAAATGTATAATTGCTACTGCAAAATAGGAAGAAAAGGTCTGAAGGTGTAGGGGAAGTGGGATGATAGGGTAAAGGTAAGAAGGGAAAAGAAAAAATAAGACAAAAGGAAAAAAATGGAAACAAGGTCTTTGTAAATAGGGAAGGGTGGAAGGGGTAAAGGGAGGGTAGGGGAATGGGGAAAAAATAAGAACCAAGATACATGTAAGGGTACAAAATCCCAATGAGGAATGTAACTGTACTGTACACCTGAAAAGTACCAATAAAAAAATCCTAAATACACTTATTAGAGTCTAACTGTATCATAAATTAATTTTATTAAATGTGCATTCAGATACTGATGGCTGATTTTTTAAAACTAATTTTTCAAGTATGAGATAATTATAAATTTACTCATAGTTGTAAGAAACAAAAGAGGTGGTATGTGTTCTTGAGTCAGTTACCCCATGGTGGTGTCTTGCAGTACAATGGTATAACAGATGCTATAATATCCCAACCGGGAAACCGCTGTTGATAAAGTGGAGACAAAACATTTCTGCCACAAGGGAACCCAGTCCTGGGGACTGAACCCAGAGCCTTCACACTGAGCTACATACCCACCCACCCCCTCTTTTTCTTTTTGGTATGGGGGATCGAACTCAGGCCCTTGCACTCGCAAGGCAGGTGGCAGAACCACTGATCTAAACCCCCAGCCCACACAACCCTTTTAAAATAACTATTTGGATGGAGATAAGGGTCTAAATTGCCAAGTTGCTCAAACTGGGCTTGAATTTGTGATTCTCCTGCTTCAGCCTCCTGGAATGCTGGGATTCCCGGCATGCACTTCCACACCAGGCCCCACACCCTCCTTAATCCTGCGGTAAACACTGATCTGTCTGCTATCTCAGTACCTAGGCCAGGGCCGGGGATTTAACTCGGTGGTTCCACTGGCCAAAACCTGTTCATGTAAAGGTACAAGATCCCAGTAATGAATATAACTGTACTGTATACTTAGAATGTACCAATAAACTCAATAAAAAGAAAAAAAAAAGGAATACTAAAAGAGTTGTTAAAGAACTTAAAAAAAAAAAAAAAAAAAAAAGCAAAAAAAAAAAAAGC